AGTGTGTTCTTATAAAAAAAAAAAGTAAAGTGTACCCATTCGCAATCTTTTCTTAATGTATTTATGCACATTATACGGAGCCCCTAAAGGGACATGGTTAGAAAAAATATTAAACTATTTCGAGGGAACGAAATAATATTTCGAGGGAACGAAATATTATTTCGAGGGAACGAAATCATTTCGAGGGGACGAAATAATTTCGTTCGAACGAAATATTATTTCGTTTCCTCGAAATATTATTTTATTCCAGCTCTATGGATATGGTACACATACACAACTCTGTATTGCTTCGCCATCTTGTCAGCACTCTAGTAGTTTAATAGCTCTATGATATATTAATATTGGCACTCAATATATATCGGATCAAGTGCGATCCATGGACCCCGTGTAAGTAGCTCAGGTCCAATATCTTCTACAGTAGTAATAGACTGGGTTCCAGTCCCTAATCTTTGTCTTAATATACCGACGCTGGTGGCGCTCTCCAAAATTAGCTAATACTAGGACAAAACCAGGTCAACTCGGCCACAAGTTAACTCGGCCACAGTCAACTCGGCCACAAGTCAACTCGGCCACAAATCAACTCGGCCACAAAAAGTTCGGCTACAGCCTACTCGGCCACAAGTCAACTCGGCCACAAGTCAACTCGGCCACAAATCAACTCGGCCACAAGTTATTTAATGTAAATCTAAGTTTTTGCATTCTTTTTCTTCAATATATGATTGAAATAAAGTACACAGTATTCCTGATGATGACACATTCCTGATGATGACATAATTAATGTCGAAATATTGAATCCCAACACGATGGCGTGTATTTCAATACTTGGAGTATGTATTATACTTTAGTACACAGTATGTTTTAGTAAAACAGGACCACCACACTACCAAAAGAGATTTGAATGCTATTGCCTATGAATTAAAAAGAGTTATTTATTAATGTGTTCGTCTTTTGTTTAGTCACAACATTCTACTTCAACAATAATATTAAACAACAATATCGACAATAAATTAGTAATATTTACATTAATAATACTAATTAGTCATTATGACGATAATAAATGTGATAATAACAACAACATTAATTGTAATATTTATTTTTTAAAAATTGTAATAATCCTAGTATGGTAATAATAACGATATTTAAATATCAATTTTAATAACTAATTAGTGATAACAACGATATTGAAGGTGATAATAGCAATAATACAACAATAATAAATTAAAGATAATGTTTATTTTTATAATAATAGTAATACTAATTAGTAATAATAATAATAATACTAATAACAATACTAGGCCTACTTAGTAATAATAGGGTAATAATATCGATAATAAAGGTGACAACAACAACAATAATATTAATAATAATAATAATAATATGA